CTTTTTTTTTTTTTAATACAAAACCATAAAGCTTTAATGCTTGCTATTTAATAAGTAACTGTGTTTTCTTCTGTCTCTAATTTAGTGGCCATAATTTGCAGTTAATTGAACCATTCCAACCTAATGCTTACCCATATTTCCTAGTTTTGTTTTATTTATTTATTTGAACTTCTTGTTTTCATGATTGAGGACTTTCACTTCTGTCTCATTCATCTGTTTGGAAACTTCTGACCTTACAGCCAAAACTTAACTCATTCTACTCAGTATTCATCGTGATGCTGAAGTGTAAGATACCTGCAAATGTAAACACTACCACTTTTATTAATAAAAGCAAATACAGTGTTTTAGGGCACATTTGCATCACTATAGTTGAGGTTGTGTCAGTATTTCCATTGTAAACCCATAGAGGGTCTATATCTTGGCACTAAATTGCCCCAAGCTAAATCTTTGCCATACAAGGCTTCTGCTCAAGCATGAATTTGGTGGGTTGGTTTTTAAACCGTTTCCAACACAAACTCTTGTTTCTGTTTTAAGTTATACAACTGTTTTGTTGGATGGGGGTTGGTTTAAAAAAGCAAAACAAAAACTAACAACAAAACCAACAAACAAACCTGGTTCAAGATTGTTTTTGGCACTTCTGTAAGTCAGAAATGGTTTTGATTTTAAAACATAACCTTTGACAAGCCAGTAACCTACAATATGGTCTGATCACTTTGGGTATTTTGTAAAAATAATAATAAATTGTAGAGATGTTGTGGTTTAAAAATCAGCTACTGTGCATTTGCAGTAACTTATTTCAACCCAAGAACTAGCAGTTTTTACATTAGTAAACATACTTGGCAGCCAGTGTGGTGCAGCGGAACAGTGATAGCTCCTGAAGGGTTGTGGGTTTTTAATCATGTGGAGAAGTAAAGCCACTACAGACTAAAAAAAAGATTCAGCTGCCTCTGAAAGCATCAAAACCTGCTCTCATAGAGGCTGAAGCTGGAGCTCTGTTAAGTTGGCTGGAGCAGACTTTGATGCTAAAGCATATGAAAGCATGCTGGGTCAGGTGTCAGAGACAAGAGCCCTGAGGGCTTATCTTCATATATCTATAAAAACTATTTTGAATTGTGGCATCAAGGATAGGATTTAACTTGGAGTATGTCAGTAACTCCAGACGAACTGAAGCTCATTCTGGTCCAGTGTGTTGCACATAATTGATACCTGCAGGATAATTTTCTTACAGCAGTAAATCTATGCACAGAAATATTAATGTTCATCACTTTAGAATCTGAGCACCTTGTAATTAGTCATGGCGCGATATTCCTGTAAATGATGTGGAATGTTTTGTCTTTATATCCTAGTTTGCAATGTCAAAAATCATGTACCAGGAAAAACAAAAGATATAAATGTGATTACATGGGAAACTGACCACAGATTTGGAGGTAGACACGTGACAGCCGAGTACCAGTCCAGTGCCTTAGTGATAATACTGTTGGTGGTTGGTGCTATACAAATGTCTAGGATTGATGAAGTTGTTTTAAGTTATAAAATTAGTAACTTATTCTGGAAGAGAGTAAGTTCTCTTCTTTACCCACCTGTATCTAGTATGCTATGTGTATTTCTAACAATGCTGGCACTCAAAAGACCTCTTCCATGGAAGAAGATGATAAAATTCCTGCTGACTGTAAGAAACAGGATATGGGCCATAGATTACTATCAGAGGAAATCTCACACAAGAACAGGTCATCATCCTTAAAATACATGTTGAGTTTGTATAGAAATCAAATTATTTACAAGCAAACATCTGTTTGCAGTCCAGTCCCAAAACTGTACCCTTCTTCCTCAGCTTGGTATTCCTGAAAATCCATCCATTGGGAAAAAGTCTTTGTTCTATGACAACCTTTGAAGTGTCTTTGCAAACGAAAATAAGCTACAAAAGGGATTTCTGAACCTCTGCTGATGAAAGCTGTTACGCTGAAAAACTTCTCTGATGACTGCCGAGACAGAAATTCCAAGAGCGAACCTATTTTAATCCTGGTTGTAACCAGTTTGCTTAAATACTGTGAGTGGGTGTGTTTCAGTTACGAGGTAGTAAACTGCTTTAGAGTATTTCTACTATATTGCAGAGAGTGCCAAAACTTCAGCCACAAGTACTGGCTTCATAATTGTTTTCAACCCCAATTCTATTAAAAGTTAAAACGTCTTTTTACCCTGTCTACTTTTAATGGACTGAGTTGAGCAAAATGGGTGCAGTTTAAAGCACAGGTCTACTTGGAAAAGTAGCCTGGGAGGTGGGAAGGGAAACTAAATTCTTTCTGCATTAAACAAAAATAATAAGGTAGGGGTTTTGTCTAACTTTTGGGTCCTATAAGTATAGCCTGGTTCTGTGGAAAAAAAAATAGGGAGTTCTTTAGGTTAACGACAGCAAGTGCTCACTGATACCTCTGCAGCAAGGGGTAACTGACCAAATACGCGCTAGATAATTTTAAGAAAAACAACAAAAACAACCCCACACCACCAAACCAGAATTTACAGGTTTTCCTAATTCTTTTCATTTAGGAAGTCTGCCTGAAAAATCTTAATGACAGGACAAAATAAAGCCTCTAGATATTGTCCCAAATACAGAGAATGGTACATTTTTGAGGGAGAAGATGCTGACATTAGGGTTTTTTATGTAACATAACATGCTTTCTAAGGCTGGGGTGCCAGTAGACAAATGTAAGCAATTTCAAAATTAAAATGTGAATGTATCTCTTTAATTTACCCAGTTGTTTTATTAAATGAGTTGGCTAATGCTTTCCTTTTTGTTTTTTTAATATACTAAAGTCTGGAGGAAGAACAAGCTTAGGACAGTGGTAGTAATGTTGGGAAATCTCTCAGTTCTGCTCTTCTGTTACGCAGACTAATGTTTTTATGCTGTGAATTTTATGTGAATTATTAATAGTGAAGTACAGTGTTTCTATTTGTAGTTTTCTGGTATTTGATAAGACTTTGGAATTGCGTCATTCTTGCAATGAACATGCTAGTGATCCAGCAGAGATTGGGAAGGGAAAGGAGCTGCTCTGTAAGGGTTATGAATTGCCATGGCAAGCTTGTGACTAAAGCTGCTTGGAAAGGGAGCCTGTTCTAGTCCTTTTTCACTTCATTATCAGTTTGGATCAGAAGAGCTTCCATAAAAAAGGGAAATGAAGAGGTTGGGCGGTAGAACCAAATAGTAAGACCTGAAAGCGTTAATGAAAGGTATTTTAAACTTGTTTTAAGCTAGAGCTATAAGAGACAGCATGTCCTTCCTGAAGTGTGTGTGTGATGATTCTTATGTACCTCAGCATTTTTAATCTCTGCTCTCTTTTTGCTTGAAGGCACAACACCCAAAATGAAGTAACAGATTTCATGAACTTTTTCGTGCTAACGTTGAGTTCCGTTTCCCACAGGACAAAACTCTGCTGGGCTACAAAGGTCCATCTGTATAAGGCAGTTGAAGTCCAGTGCTGCCATGAGCAACAGCACTTGTTTCACCTTATTTGTGTTTTAAAACCAGGGAGCTTACAAGCAATTGTTCTTTCCAACATTATGGCCCAAAACCTACTACCTTTGGCTTCAGGTTTGTCATGTCCTCATCCCCCAGGCCACATACTCTGAAAACGTATATGGTTGATCAGAGAGAACAGAGCAGCTGTGAAAGAAGACCACCTTGCTGAAAGTTCAGAGGAATTAGGGAAAGCTAGGTAAACAAAAGTCCTAAATCCATCACCTTGGACACTGAGAAATACATTTACAGGGGAAATTCTTCATTTCCCAGGTAAGTGACCCAGTTCAGGATCCTTATATAAATTTTCAAGGACAGAAAAATTACCTAAAAGTCCAGGATATCTCCAACTAAGGAACCACAAAAAATGCACTTACTACATACATTATAAAACTGGGAGGCACTTCAGTGAAGCCTAAGTTCAGTGATCATTATGCAAATCAATGGGAATTTGCTTTGAAGCAAGAAAAGTTTCCACTTGTTCATCTTGAAAAGTACTTGTGGCATTGTGAGGCTGTGCTTTCAAGCAATCCACAGTATGTGAATACAATTCCAACTTTGAAGCTGGTGTTTGAAGGAGCCTAGAATGACATTATGTTGGCAGCCTAAAACCCACCTTGTTTTGTCTCAGAATGCTTCTCAATTACCTGGGAAAGTATCATGGTGTTTAATGTCTGGAATAACTGTTACCAGTAGCTGCGAATCTCAAACGAAAATGCTTACTCTTGAGGTTCTGCTTGAGAAGGAAGAATTCTTCAGCCAAAACTCGTTAGCCTAACTTGATGCTGCTGTAATTTCCTACTCAAAAGTTAGCAACCTTCTCTCTAGTTGAATGTATTGGCTGATTGGTAAAGGGCTAATGATTACAAAATACAAAACTGATGCTAAAAGAATGTGTAGAGGGAGAGGAGCAGAGATAGTTAGCATACAGAGAATGTCAAGGTGGGTATTACTAAAAAAAGGCATGAAATAAAAGGAAAACAGTTTTGTTGAAGTCGGCTCTTCTGTTTGGAATTTTTCTTTAATTCCTGGAAGGAACCACGTGAAGTTGGGTCAACAGCTGTATTATATTGAGCCCTTCTTTAGGTAGGAAAACTTGAAGCAGTTGTTAAGAAATGTTCTCAAAAATGAAGCAACAAATTTTGGTAGGTGGGTGGAATTGAAACTTGAGCATTTGATACTTATTCTTTACTCCTTTATGAAACCAACCTTAATTTCTGTTCCACATTTCTGTAGATCTGGCTCTTCTTCATGCATCTACTTTCCAGGATGCCTTTACTGGTCCTCCAAAGCATGCAGCAGAGACTTGGGCTGGCCTTCATGTTATATTTATTGGCCTCAAAATTTTATCTTTAATACGCTCATCAAAAATCTCCTTCAATGATAATTGAAGAATCAAGAATATTTTACACACAAACTGTAGTCAAATACGCATGTAGGGAAAAACTTGCAGTCATCTGCTGGATAATGAGCTATTTCAGGGACATTCGTGCAAATCTAAGTGCTTTTATTTACAAAGATTTTACTGAAACTTTGTAAAAAAAAATCCATATTTGAGAAGACAGATAAACCCAAGAAGACACCAACATTGTATCCATTCAAAGTTGTAGAAGTTTAGTTTGCAAAATCAATTTCTGATACATTTAGTTTTTCATCACAGTTTAAATGATACCTTGAAACTGTTGGGTTTGATCTGACATTGCCTTTTGTTTATTGACCTGAAGTGGGGAGAGCTTGGATATTACAATTCTTCTGCAAAGGGTTATTCATCAAATGTCTGGCTCTGTTACAGGTTCCTAGTTTTCTCCTCAAGTGTCCTGGGTTCAGCAGTAGCAGTCATGTTTTTCCTTTGTGTTAACTGGTGCAGTGCTGTGTTTTGACTTCTAGTTTGAGAGCAGCGTTGGTGAAGCCGATGTTTTCGGTTGTTGCTAAGTGATGTTTACCTTGACCAAGGACTCTGTGAGGCTCATGCTCTGCCAGGGAGGAGGGGAAGCTGTGAGGAGGCAGAGACGGGGCGCCTGACCCGGGCTAGCCGGGGAGGTATTCCATACCACAGCACGTCATGCCCGGGGTGGGGGGTAACTGGGAGTTACCCGGAAGGACAGGGGCTTCCGGGTGGAACTCGTTTTCTTGGCCGGTGGTATCGTATTCTCTTCCCTTGTTATTTTCCCTTATCATTGTTTTAGCTGATAGTAGCGGTGGTGATTTGTTGCTGGACTGTTCTTGTCTCAACCCGTGGGAGTTGCACTCTCTCGATCCTCCTCCCCGTTCCTCCGGGAGCGGGGAAGGGGAGAGCCCCGGTGCAGGGAGAAGGGGGAGACGAACACGGACCTTGATTGTTGTCAGCTCGGCACCACTCACTGGGAGTGAGTGAACAAGTTACCTGACTGGGTTTAAACCACGACAGTTCTTTTTTGGCGCCCAACGTGGGGCTCGAAGGGGTTGAGATAAGAACAGATCTGACTGGATTGATAGTCACTCGTCACAATGCTGATTTATTGGCTCTCAAGGTTTTTCCTCTTGATCTCACAGTTTCAGTATACCATATCTTACGTCCATCCGGTATTGGCTGTATTAGTGTTTTTCAAGTGTGGGGCTTGGGCTAAGGTTTTTATCCCATTGTACTTTATGGTAATGACTTGTAATACAATAGAATCGTTGATCATGAAACTGATCTGGTTTATGTTCCCAGTGTGGTCACCACCTTTATACTTTGGGAGGTATATGATGGAGGTGCTTAGCAATTACACATCTTTTTTCTCCTTCTCAGGTGCTCAACCTGTGAAGGAGACATCCTTTTACCCTCCTAGTCGTCCCCCCAGACCATTTACATTTGAGAATGCACATCCCAAATTAGAGTTCGATTGTAAGCCCTCTCTATCATGTGACCCGGAAGAAGAATGATTTTAAATGGGGCCCTGAGCAGCAACAAGCCTTTGAGCAAATTAAACGCGAGATAGTTCATGCAGTAGCCCTTGGACCTGTTCGGACCGGGCCAGATGTAAAAAATGTGCTGTACACTGCAGCTGGGGAGAACGGTCCTACCTGGAGCCTCTGGCAGAAAGCTCCAGGGGAGACTCGAGGTCGACCCCTCGGCTTTTGGAGTCGGGGATACAAAGGATCTGAGGCCAGCTATACCCCAACTGAGAAAGAGATACTGGCAGCCTATGAAGGGGTTCGAGCTGCTTCGGAAGTGATTGGCACTGAAGCACAGCTCCTCCTGGCACCCCGGCTGCCCGTGCTGGGCTGGATGTTCAAAGGCAGGGTCTCCTCTACACATCATGCAACTGATGCTACATGGAGTAAATGGGCTGCACTAATTACACAACGAACTCGAATAGGAAATCCCAGTCGTCCAGGCATTCTAGAAGTCATCATGGACTGGCCAGAGGGCAAAGATTTCGGAATGTCACCAGAGGAGGAGGTGGTGCGTGCTGAAGAGGCCCCACCATATAATAAACTGTCAGAAAGTGAAAAGCAGTATGCCTTGTTTACTGATGGCTCTTGCCGTATTGTGGGAAAGCATCGGAGATGGAAGGCAGCTGTATGGAGTCCTGGACGACAAGTTGCAGAAACTGCTGAAGGAGAGGGTGAATCGAGTCAATTTGCCGAGGTGAAAGCCATCCAGCTGGCCCTGGACATTGCTGAACGAGAAAAGTGGCCAGTACTTTATCTCTATACTGACTCATGGATGGTGGCAAATGCCCTGTGGGGGTGGTTGAAGCAATGGAAGCAGAGCAACTGGCAACGCAGAGGTAAACCCATCTGGGCTGCTGCACTGTGGAAAGATATTGCTGCCCGGGTGCAGAACCTGGTGGTGAAGGTACGTCATGTAGATGCCCATGTACCCAAGAGTCGGGCCACTGAGGAACACCAGAACAACCAACAAGTGGATAAAGCGGCTAAGATTGAAGTGGCTCAGATGGACTTAGATTGGCAACATAAAGGTGAATTATTTCTGGCCCGGTGGGCCCATGACACTTCAGGCCATCAGGGCAGAGATGCAACATACAGATGGGCCCGTGACCGAGGGGTGGACTTAACAATGGACACTATTGCCCAGGTTATTCATGAGTGTGAAACATGTGCTGCAATTAAACAAGCCAAGCGGTTAAAGCCTCTTTGGTATGGAGGACGATGGTTGAAGTATAAATATGGGGAGGCCTGGCAGATTGACTATATCACACTGCCACCAACCCGCCAAGGCAAGCGCCATGTGCTTACCATGGTGGAAGCAACCACCGGGTGGCTGGAAACATACGCTGTGCCCCATGCCACTGCCCGGAACACTATCCTGGGACTTGAGAAACAGATTTTGTGGCGACACGGCACCCCAGAGAGAATTGAATCAGACAATGGGACTCATTTCCGGAATAACCTTATAGATATTTGGGCCAAAGAGCATGGCATTGAGTGGGTATATCACATCCCCTACCATGCACCAGCCTCTGGGAAAATCGAACGGTACAATGGGCTGTTAAAAACTACACTGAGAGCGATGGGTGGGGGAACTTTCAAGCATTGGGATACACATTTACCAAAGGCCACCTGGTTGGTCAACACCAGAGGATCTGCCAACAGGGCTGGCCCAGCCCAGTCAGAACTTTTACATATTGTAGAGGGGGACAAAGTTCCTGTGGTGCATATGAAGAATTTGCTGGGGAAGACAGTCTGGGTTATTCCTGCTTCAGGTAAAGGCAAACCCACTCGTGGGATTGCTTTTGCTCAGGGACCTGGATATACTTGGTGGGTAATGCGGGAAGATGGGGAAGTCCGATGTATACCTCAAGGGGATTTGATTTTAGGGGAAAACAGCCAGTGAACTCAATTGTATACTGTTGCCTGCTGTGTAATGCTTTTATAGCCCATCAACTAGATGTCTCCAGGTCACCAGCGACTGGCCCTGACTTCCTTCCAGCCATCATCCCAACAGAGAATGAACTTGGAACATCATGGACCGAATGGACTCGGCAGCATTATAGGGATTGGTCCATGCACTAAGAAAATGATTTTTTTTCCTCTTGGTCTGTATGTATATGGATGTATATATGTGGGAGAGCGATGGTGTATTGAAAATGTGGGATCTGAGCACGACGTGAATGGTATGGAATAAGGGGTGGATAATGTCCTGGGTTCAGCAGTAGCAGTCATGTTTTTCCTTTGTGTTAACTGGTGCAGTGCTGTGTTTTGACTTCTAGTTTGAGAGCAGCGTTGGTGAAGCCGATGTTTTCGGTTGTTGCTAAGTGATGTTTACCTTGACCAAGGACTCTGTGAGGCTCATGCTCTGCCAGGGAGGAGGGGAAGCTGTGAGGAGGCAGAGACGGGGCGCCTGACCCAGGCTAGCCGGGGAGGTATTCCATACCACAGCACGTCATGCCCGGGGTGGGGGGTAACTGGGAGTTACCCGGAAGGACAGGGGCTTCCGGGTGGAACTCGTTTTCTTGGCCGGTGGTATCGTATTCTCTTCCCTTGTTATTTTCCCTTATCATTGTTTTAGCTGATAGTAGCGGTGGTGATTTGTTGCTGGACTGTTCTTGTCTCAACCCGTGGGAGTTGCACTCTCTCGATCCTCCTCCCCGTTCCTCCGGGAGCGGGGAAGGGGAGAGCCCCGGTGCAGGGAGGGGGGGGAGACGAACACGGACCTTGATTGTTGTCAGCTCGGCACCACTCACTGGGAGTGAGTGAACAAGTTACCTGACTGGGTTTAAACCACGACATCAAGGAAAGTTGAAAGTAAATGCTTTCAGTGTTGTTCTTTCCTTATATATTAAAAAAAAAACCAAACCCAAAATCTGTTACTGCAATCAAAATAAGAGATACACATATGTAAAGACAAAAGAATTTACAGTTTTATATTGAATTTAGGTCCAGTATTTTCTTGGGAAAATACCTTCTACTATTTTAAAATATTTTAAAAATATGTTCTGATTTAAGTTTAAAAATATTTCTTAGGAAAATAATCTGACTGGTTAATCTCAGTGTCTCTTCCGAGTACACTATTGTTTTCTCACATCTAGGCGATGGAAATTGTCAAAACCTTTTTGTCAAGGATATTTCCATTGGCCTCCAGCCTCAGCCTGTCACTCCACTCCAGTTCTTTCCTCTTAAAAAACGGCCAGTGCTTCCATAAGCATTGAAATGTTACCTGACTGCCTTCCGGACTGCAGGCAATTGAGCAATCATTAGCACAGGTAGAGAATGTGTCTGTTGTGCCTCTGTTTCAATCTTGCCTTCTGTTCTGAAACTTTTCCTTTCTGTTGACAGAGCAAAAAGAACATTACCCTGGGCTCACAAAAATGCTGAAGAAATGTTTCAGGAAGGGTTGCTTCACCACTGCAGGGCAGCACACAACAGCACAACTTGCGCTCTGCTGCAGTTCAGGGGGTTGTCTGTATTTTCTGTGCTGAAATCTTGAATACAGTAAGCCCTTTAACTAAGACAGTGACCATACCTACGACAGCTTATTTCTGAACAGGGCTTTTTGGCTTTTCCTACCATGCAATTTAATGGACTGCATGGAAGAATATGTAATTTCTTTTTACTGTTTTTCAGTTAGAAACTGAATGAGAATAAAGGACTTCTTAAATAATTAATCAGCAATGCTGTTAGCTGCCCTCCAAATCCCAGAACATCCCTCACCCTCCCCTTTCTTACATTCATACAATTGGGGAACGGGAGTGGATCTGAAGAGAGACAAAGGGACTCTGTTTGTCTCACATGGTCTCCATTTCGGTAATGCCTGTCTCCTTGCCCAGGGTCAGATCGTATGATCAGTTTTCGCTTTAGACTTATCCCTTCTTAATCCATCTGTAACTTCTTAGGTCCTTGTGTTGCTGGGTGCCCTCTTGGCCCGTTGCCTTCAGTCAGCACCAGAGCTGAACCCATCTCCTCTGGGACTCTGCAGCACCCCCAGGATGGTCTGTACTAAGGTCTTGAGGTTAGCACAACTACTGCTTTGGGGATCTACCTGCACGCATAGGGGAACAGAAATAATCTGCCCTGTATGGTTACAGACTTCCTAAGAGCCTCAGGAACAGAGAGATGGGCTCACATAGCACACTCTTCTGTCCAGAAATGAAATGGGTAACTAACGCCACTAGTGTTATTTATAGGGAGTACAGTTGGTTTATTAAGATGTTTTTTTCACATTAAAGTCTTCAGGATTTTGTCTTAAGCTAAAAGTAATGTCCCGTCTCCCCACCCCCCCCAAATTGTTTGCAATGAGAAAAGGCAGTAATGTTATTTAATGCTATTCTCCAGCAAGTTTTGGGTACACAGAGTTACACCAGTGCTTGGTCACAAAACTTTACCACTAAAATCAAACCCAAATAATCTTCCCACTTCCATTCTACCAAAGTTACCTTTCCTGTTCTTTTATTCCTATTTGATAGGGTTTTTTTTTAATTCCACCATAACATTTGATCACTACTATCAACTTGCTGCTGCTGTTCAATATCCTCTTCATGCTCCAGGAAGCGCAAGGAAAACAACGTGACTCAGCTGCATCCAGAACCACCGCCACCGCTTTCACACTCCGTGTTCCACGTTTACCAGCAGTCCTTCACGACGCCTTTCAGCCGTCATTCATCAGCCAAGGGCCTCACCTCCGGCAGCGCTGAGCTCTGCGGTAACGGCCGCGCCGCCGGCTCCTGTCAGCCCCGCCGGGCCGAGACACGCTCCGCGGCACAGCAACCCCCGCGGTGCCCCTCCGGCTGCTGCCGCTGGCCGCATCCCACCCTTCTCCCCCTCCTCCGTTCCGCCCCGCCCGGCCCTGCGGTAGCGGCGGCTCCGCCCTCCCGGCGCCCGCCATTCCGCGACGCTCCTCCCTGCGGGGCGGTGGCGGCCTGGTTCCGGCAGTCGCTGCGGCTCTTTCGGCCCGGGGCGGGAGGAGCCATGGAGGACGCTGATTACTTCGAAGGGAGCGCGGCAGAGTGGGGGAACGAGGCAGACGGAGGGACGGTGAGGGTTTGCGGGCGTCTTTGAGGCGGCGCGCCTTGGGTTGCCCGCCCTGCGGGAGTCGGCAGCTCGGTGTCGGGCCTGGAGCGGCCTGTGAGGGGGAGCGCTCACCTCCGGGGCCGCTCTGGAAAGCGGGGACTTTTTGGGGCGTCGAGTGGGTTCCGGAGGAGCTCCCGGGCATTCTCCCTCTGCGGGTGGGGGAAGCCGCGTGTGGGGATCAGACCTGAGGTGATGAGCGCTGAGTGTAGAGGCTGGTGGGGAAGTCTCCTGTGTTGGGGCCTGGGGCTTGAGAGCGTTATAAAGGAGGAAAACAACTGGTTGGTTTTGTGCCTTCTCTGTTGAAAAGTCTTGGTTTTGTGTGGAGGAGGTCGCTTCCTAGGGTGAGCTGAGGTGTGTGAGTTTCTGTGGGCAAAAGTAGTCTAAAGATGGGATTATAGGGGGAAACAGGACAAGAGAGGTGCCTGACTTGCCTGTGCTTGCAAACAGCAAGACGATGAGGATGGGGAGGGGGAAGATGATGCCGAAGTCCAGCAAGAATGCCTGAAGAAATTTTCAACCCCTGACTATATAATGGAGCCGTCTATATTTAACACGTTAAAGAGGTGAGTGTAACCTTATATGTGTTAAAATGCACGTTGTGTGTGTTACAGTGGTGTGGTCACTTTGTATGGAAGTTTGTGTGAAAGCTCATAAATAATGCTATTGTTTTTCCTTTATTTAGAGTTCAGTTGGGTTTGATTTTTAATATGACACTCAACTAGTTCTTTTGTAATCCTTTCATCAGGTATTTCCAAGCAGGAGGTTCTCCAGAGAACGTTATCCAGCTCCTCTCTGAAAACTACACTGCAGTGGCACAGACTGTAAATTTGCTGGCAGAGTGGCTCATTCAGACAGGTATGATTGATAAGTGATTGATACACTATAATTTGGGTCTTCATTCTGTCAGAAATATTTGAATCGGTGGCAAATTTGATCATACTCAAGAAGTGGATTATTGTGAACTTGACATCCTGTATGTGTGTATGACTAAATTCTTTATAATACGCTTATTCTATACAGAGAATAAATAATCTGTTGAGAAACACTTTGAAATGCTCACAAACTATGATAAAGGGTAATACAGTTCAAGCAGCTCCATAAACTATATTTTGTTTTTACAGTTACAGGTACTGTTGTGTAGATGGTCTTACCAATATTTCATTGTTTCTAGGAGTACAATATAAATAACTGAACAACTACCCTCTTGCTAGTTACTATAGCTTTCAGTAGATGAATGGTTAGGTGGAAAGCTATCATACAGATGCCTGTATTTTCTTAAGAATTCTGTATTACCGTCTGCTTTTGAATTCTTCAGCAGCCTAGTATAAACTTTCATTTACAAATTAGCAGAATTATTATGCCCCGATCTTGGAATTGTAGAACTGCTTACTGCAACTTTGTGTATTCTTTTATTGTATACTATCAAAGGTACTGGTAGCAAACATACTGAAAGGGTGGGCTTTAGTCTGTATAAGGTGAGTTGTGCACCATCCTTTTGATCGCTTTTGTGTTTAAGATACGTGCATTTTGGTGACATGCCCAGTAACAGTCTTGTGAAATGACTGACATAGCTGGTTGCATGACTGATGAAGAGAGCAAGAGAGAAGGACTAGTGTGACCTGCCTGTGATCCTAAACAGTCTGCATTTAGGAAAAAAGATCAAGGACCTGAATCTGTCTGTATCAGTGTGGCTTGACAGTAGAACTGATGGCGCTCCTCTCTGTGTTGATAAATTTCTGAGTAGTTTCTGTTCTCATTGAAATACTTAAGGTGTTGCTGCCATGTTTGATTGGATTGCATCTGCTAAGGGTTTTTCTTCCTTCTGTACAGGTGTTGAGCCACTGCAAGTTCAGGAGACTGTAGAAAACCATTTAAAGAGCTTACTTATTAAGCATTTTGACCCTCGGAAAGCAGATTCCATCTTTACAGAGGAAGGAGAGGTGTGCATTGTATCCGTGTTGCTGTCTCTACATGAGTGAATCCTACACATTTGCCTTCGTCTGATGGAGTAGTGGATGGTGGGGGAAGGAAAGTCATATCTTCAGAGCTCCTTGATAAAGAAACAACTGGTTTCAGAAAACCAGCTGTGTCTCACTGAAGTCTTTAGAGGCCTAGAGAACGTAGAAACTTCAGAGGCATCCTCCTTTGTAATAAAGTTCTGTACAACAACTTGCAGGACTCCCTGAAAGGTAAAAGGTTTGCTTTTAATGACCTTGGCAACTAGAAATTCTTACATTTCTGTTTATTGCTCTAATCTTTCAGACTCCAGCCTGGCTTGAGCAAATGATAGCACATACTACGTGGAGAGATCTCTTCTACAAGTTGGCAGAAGCCCACCCTGACTGTTTAATGCTTAATTTTACTGTGAAGGTACTATACTCAAGTCTGATAAATGAGAATATCCATAAATGGCTGATTGTTCTGGCATCAAATATCGTCTCTGATCCTACCTGTATGTCTTATGTATTCCTGCTAATACTGCTTATTCAAATGTCGGAACAGTGCAAGGACACATTGATAGGAGGAATTGTGTTACAGGTTGCAAGTAGTAAGTGTAGTTTCCCAGTTTATTTTTTCCCTGTGATGTGTTATCTGAGAATTCTGGATTTCTGGTGCAGTATGACATTTCAGTCAGCTTGGTATGTTCCTGTGACAGGGAAAGAATGTTCTATCTTGCTGTGTTCTGAAATATATTTTTGTGTCATTATGATTTACATTTTTTGCTACATCTTTCTTTATTTCCTTTTCTGTAGTGAAAGACAAACATGAATTCCACCAAGTGTATGCAGAGGCAAATCTTACAATTCTGCGTGTTCTTCTAGACTTGTTAGGATATCTGAAATATAAATG